GTAGCTTTCCAAAATGACTCAGCGATTGATTGGAATTTATTGGTTTTCCTTTTGTTTTATCTGCCATTAAAAGTAGTGTTTATTTAGATGTCATTGTTGGGATTTTTTCTTTTTTTTTTTGAGAACTATAAAAAAATTTAAATAAATACGCATAACTAAAACAAACTAAGGCAATTGATTAGCCTTGGCGAAGCGCATGCGCAGAGTGAAAGTCGTTAAGTGATAAAGACTGAATTAAAGGAGATAAAAAAAGAATACACACCGTGTCAAAAATATAAGCACACCACATATTGACAAGTTTTAAAAAGTTATTTTTTTATTATTTAATCTTTATTAGAGCAACAGAAGCCAAATCAACAATTTTTAAAATGTTTGACTGTCTGTCTGGCTTTCTGTCTGTACGCGCATCACTCGGATTTATCACTCATGGAATCGAATGCAGTTTTCACCGATGTATTGCATGAGGTCTAACTTAAAATATAGAAGAAAACAAAATTAGAGAGTTGCCACCTGTTTGAAAATTGCAGTTTAGGTAAATTGATAAGATAAATTAAAGAAAGAATTTTAAGAAGGCCTACGCCCAAAATTGTTTAGTTTAAGGTTGCCACCTGTTTGGAAATTTTCATTTAATTTAAGTAATAAGATAAATTTAATATTGCTATATAGGTATCAAACTAAAGAGGTTTAAGAAAGTTTACTTGCGAAAACATTTTTGAGGGATTGCCACCTAGTTGAAATATTTTCTTCGTTTAAATTGATAAAATAAACGAAATATTACAATACTCGTGTTAAACTAAAGAGGTTTAAGAAAGTTTACTGTCGAACATATTCTTGAAGTGGGTTGCCAACTATTTGAAAAATTCAATAATCGATAAGATAGGGTAAATATTGTATCAGTTCCACCTGCGCGTTATGCAGACTCGACTTATAAGATTATGAATGAAATTTTCAGCAGAAAGCCGATACTCTACCGATTTTCTAAATACCTTCGAAAATACTGTATGAAATAAAACCCCACATTTATAAAAAATAAAAAATGCTTCATTCATCGAAAATTTGTTTGAAAATCTCCCCACGTAAAGCTCTTTAAAACTTATTTATTTTTTTATGAATGAGCCCATAAGAGTTTTGGGAGAAAGTAACAAGAAAAAAATACTTTTAAGGCGCAGTGAAGTACGCCGGGTATTTGCTACTTAAAAATAAATTTGGAAAAAATATGAAAACGTAATTTAAAAGATTCTAAATTATGAAAGAGTTGTTTTGTAGAAGGATTATCTAAGTATAATACAAATTTCCCTGAACAGTGTTAAATTATCATTCGATATTCTTAAGAATTCTTCGTCCTTTAAAATTCATTTTCTCAAATTATGCACAAAATTCCGACATAAATACGAAATATAAACACGAAAAAAAGTACACTTGTCGCCAGTGCGTCTGTTGTGGTACCGTTTTAGGAGCTTATTTCGTCTCTATAAGCTCATCTAGAGATAGAATTAGTTGGTTAAGTTAATAAATAGCAGGGAATCATAGATGCCTAATTAGGCCCGCTAGGCAGTCAAAGAAGTAATTGGAAAATGAATGTCAGTTCAAAATGCGTACTTTATTATAGAATTTTAGTTGAGTTGATTGAAGTGAATTAAGGTGAAATGCGTTGAACAACATAACAGAATATAACATAACATAACACAACACAATACAACGCCCTACAATAAAACACAATACAACACAACACATCCCAAAACAATACAATTCAAAATAGTACAACACAACATAACATAACATAACATTACATTACATAACAGAACATAAAATAACATAACATAACGTAACACAGCATAACGTAGCATAACATAACGTCACATAAAATAACATAACATAACACAGCATAGCGTATCATAACATAACATAACATAAAATAGCATAACATAGCAATATAATATAACATATCATAAACTCAACACAAGACAATACAACACAACACAATACCTCATAAAACCACACAACACAATGCAACACAAAACAACACAACACATCACAACACAACATAACATGACATTCTTCAATTTTATCTTTTTCTCTTTTTCTGTCTCTACCTTTATCTCTATGTTTGTCTCTGCCATTTTTTTATCTTTTCATTTTGATATCTATCATTTCCTTGACTTAAATCCAGATCTTTATCTGTGTTCTTTTCTTTATCTAAATATTCACCCACACCTTTGCTGTTATATTAAGTATTTAAATTTACCTTCCTCTTTGTCTTTATGTTTAGGTTTATTTACTTTTATTTTAATCTCTGCACTTAACCTTATCCCTTTCTTCTTCTACTTACTAAACTTTACCTTCATCCTTGTTTGAGTCTTAATCTATTCATACATACATCATATTCCTAGACTGCTGCTTAGCACGTTTCTTTAATTCAGTATCAATATTAAAGCATACATTTAGGAGGTATTTCCGGCCCAACCATGAACATGTATGGCATTGGTATTGGTGTGACTATTGAATTGATTTTTACGCTTTATTTCAAACTTATTTGAAATTTGAAAAATTGTCTGCACATCAGCGTCAAAATATCTTTCTTTCTTTCAGCAGTGTCCCTCTCTGCCTGAATTAACCACCTTCTTTGAAGCTTCATTTGAATGGCAGATGAACTCTTTGGTTTACCTGTGTCGCAGAAAATCTCTCCAATGTCTGTATAAGATTTTGTTTATACAGTTATTTCTGATCTCCTTTATGCTAGCTTTAGTTTCCGTACCATGATAGTCCTCCCAGATAGTCCTTCCTCATTACTGTAATGCCTGGATACCCATGCTAGTAAAACTATGTTTTTGGCTCCTGGCGTTTTAGCACACTGTAACAATCATGATTTTTTTTTAAGTTCAGCCCAAATACATCCAGCTTCATCTACATATAATCTTCCTTGAAAATGAATCCAAATACAAATTCTTACTTAGAAAAGGTTAACGATTTTTGGTGAGCTTTAATTTACTGACGGTAGGGTATTAAGTTAGGATAATAGAAACAGAGATTTGGTGGGTAATTACTAAAGCGCGGTACTTGAGGTCAATGAACTCGTGAAACGAAAAAATTTTCTCCTCGAGACAGGAATATCAATCCGACTGTAAATGTTGAAGATATGGAAAAAAATGTAAAAAGGCGTTCACAAAAAAAAAAATTTTGTTTCGTTTTTTTTTTCAAAATTGCCTTGCAAAAATATTTCAGACTCAGGTGTGTATGCGAACTTTTTTTTCTGGTACGGTCTAATATTCGTGCATGCACACATTTTTTCAAAAATGTTCTAAACTTCATTTACTGGTTGCATGCAAAAGCATTCACTTCTCGCCGAGCAGCAATGGATTCTTATCGCCGCTGTTCTGCACTTCGCGTTGTTGCTGCTGCTGTTGCTGTTGCTGCTCTTGCCGCATATTTTAAGTTGATTGCAACTGCAGAAATGGGGCGCGTGTTGGAATGTGGCAAATCCAGTTTCTCACCTTCAAATAAACAGTCTTTAGCAGGCTGCACTCGTGGTGGCACCATACTACACACATATGTACGTAGCAACATTATTGCATACAAATGTATTTACGTACATACATACATATGCATCCATGAAAGCAGCTGCATGTGTATTTAGACTACTCAAAATATGCACTCAATCCTCTCGAGTGAGTCTGCTGGTTACCCTCTCTCTCTCTCGTTGCAGTATTTAATTTGTTTTTCTTTTTTTTGTTAAATAAACTTCTGTTGTTATTCGACTAAGTGTACCGTTTCGGTGAAATTGTTTTGGGAACAAAGTATCTTCTGCTGTATTAGTTGCATTTTATTTGCTTTTTTTTTTTGTTGGTTTTGTTATTGCTATTTGATGATGCTTTTAATATTGTTTCCGTGATTACTTAATATTGACTAGCAACAAATTCGTTTGGTGTTAGGGGCAATTGTTTCGCTGGCTGTAAATGTGTGATCATATGATTGCGTGTTGGTGCGGGAAGAAGCGTGTTTGTATGAATTTGTGTAGTGACTGTTGATATTACATTTATTTTTATTTTTATTTAAGTGGCATGGTAGTAGCATCATGGAACTTTTATAAATACTCCATCCACCTACAACTTATGTATGTATGCACATTAGGGTGGATGCATGTGAAAAAGTAAAGTCGGAATTTTTACGCTCTCATCCCCTGGGATTGTTCTATACCGAAAAAATAAACTCTGTTTTTTCTTTTTAAATCAAAAAATATTTAGAGGTCGCGCAAAGCGCTTAAAATTTTCTATTTATTTTATATGGGAAAACCAGTTTTCGTAGAAATGGTATAGAATTCTTGAAAATCAATATACATATTTCGATCGGAAAAATCTGTTTCTCTTCAGGGGATTCCCAATAATAATGCCCAGTTATTTATTTAACCATTTTTTTGTAGTAACTATATTTTAGAGGTACGCCAAAACACACAGAAAATGCAATGGGGGGATAAAAAAAATCTTTAGTATTAAAATTGGAACCAGAGTTTTCCAATCGTAAAGTATTGATTTTCTAGAATTCCATATCATTTCTACGAAAAGTTGTTTTTCCCCGTATAAAATACATGGAAAACTTTGAGCGCTTTGAGAGACCTCTAAATATTTTTTGATTTCAAACTAAAAATATTGGGGTATATTTTTTCGATATAGAACAATCGTAGGGGGTAAGAGAATTAAAATTCCGACTTAAATTTTTTTTGGACCACCCTAATGTACTTACATAGTAGTTGTGGCTGTACTGCATTTTGTGCATTACAGCTGCTATATTTGTCTTAATTTATGTGGCATTACTTTTTCGTTTTTATTGCTGTTGTGTGCGTAGCTGAGCGCCAGATAAAATGTTTTGAAGACTTTGTATTTTTTATTTACTGCAGATTCTGTTAATAAGTTCTTATGCTGTTCCTAACTAATTTATTTATATATTCACGCTGGCACAGTTCGTCATTCCTTCTGCCTCAGTGTACCCGTTGATAACCATTTTGAAGTGAAACTTCTTTGCGCTCGGTTGGGTGTAAAACCAAACATCGATGTAATGAAAAAGCGGTACGGCTCTAATTGGAAAGAACCGACAGAAGAAGAGAGGAGATAGCGAGGGTGGTTGGGCTCGATTGAGATTAAGATTAAGATTTTGATTAAGGATAAGATTTAAAAGTTCGTTGCCGTTTTTGGGTTTTTCTTATCAAATCTAGCAACTACTTATACTGATGAAGTCCTGCCTACCACCAAAAGCTATAGCTTTGCAACGAAAAAGAGTAGCGAAATTTCTCATCGAAGCCACTGAGATATGAACCAGCGACTCCTGATTACAAAGCTCGTCCTTAAGTATGTTTGTTTTTGTTATTTTTTGGCCCAATAACAACTTTTATTCAACAATTTTATTGAAGTGGAGGCGGGTTTTTAGTGAAAAATTTTTCAATAAATTTGTTATTAAGCCAAAAAATTACAAACCCATTTTTAATTTTGCACAAGATTTGGAACTCTGATTTTTGGCGTTTACGTTGTGGAATTAACCATATTTTTATCAAAAATTAGCTAAAAATAATATATTAAAAAAAACTCTGTACCTAAATTTTATTAATTGACTGGACAATATGTATGTATATTTTTAAAAATTTAATTTTAGGAAAGCTTATGGCTAAAAGACAAACAGCTAGCAGTCTTTCAATTTGTCTTTCGAAAGACAGTACAGAGCTTTCAAGGCAGTTGTCGGAATTGGCAAATTTCTTACGAAAGACTTTTGACTTTCCAAGGACTGCCGCAATCCTTAAATTGAGACTGTATTTCGCTCTACGCCGCGAGAGATTTCCAAAATCGATAACTTCATATTGCAATGAGTCAAACAATGAATAACATTTTGTACCAAAATAAATCACAAAAAAAAATTCGGTAAAAACATTATGAACATCAAACAAAAAGTGCATTAACAACTGATTAACAAATTATCTATAATGAAAACGGATCGAAACATATGTAAACTATAAAGTTGATACCAAAAAGTAGCAATCAGCGAAAAATATATATCAGAGTTAATGACAACATGAAATCAAGCAAAACTTCGCACATCTTTGCCAAACAAAAAAATAAAAACAAAAAAAAATTGAAACACGAACAATCAAAAAAAGAAAACAATGAAATAATTAAATTAAGTCTAATTTATTATAATTAAAAATCGAAAAGTGGTAACAACAAAGCAGCCGATAAAAGGCATACACTCATAAGTTATAAACATAAATTTCGGTATGGACATTTGAGGTGAATACATTTTCGATTCGCTTCGATGCGCTACATCAATCGAACTTACTCGGAAGCTGTATTCGCCTCTGCATGCATATATACATACATACATGCACAAATGCTAATTTGCATACATACCTACAACATATGTATGTGCACAGGTAACTACATAAAATAGCTACATATATATATAGGTTGGTAGCTAGATAAATGTGCGTAAATGTTTTTTGTTTTTTTTTTTTGAGTGTGAATATACATTTTAAACTACATGCATGGACACAAATATTTGATGTGATCTGAACTGATTTCTGGCGATTTGATTTGAACACAAAACCGGTTTTCGATTTGATTTGGCTGTTTCTTCAACAAGTGAGATCATTTTGAAAGCTGATTTTGTCAATGAATTCAACATTAATAAACCAAAGTTATATTATAATTAATTATAGTATTGTTAAACAAATGTGAAAGAGTGTTAAAATAAGACATACATACATATGATTTTTTATTTGTGTTTGTGTGTTTTAAATTTATGAATAAATGACTAAATCGAAATTTAGTAACAACGAAAATGTCCACATTCCATGCGTATTCAACACATTAACGGTGCAACAATTGGGTAAGATGTCTTGCTGCTAATCATTGTTAACATTTCTATTGTCGGCGGCGCGCAGCAGCAGCAGCAGCAGCAAAAAGGCAACAGCCACAACAAAGCTTCTTTATACCCGTTAATCATATACAGCTGTATGCGCATGACTTTGAACTTTAGCCGACAAAACTTTGAAAATTATGTGAAAAAATTAATGTTCGTTTTCACAGCGATGAACGTAAAAATAGTTAAGAGGTAAAAAAAAAATAAAAGTATTCAAGTCCATTTTGTATACCTTTCATGAAAATGAAATTTTATTATAATTTTGGTCCGTTGTTTTTAAGTACAAGAAGAAGAAGAGAAAGCTCCCTAAAAAATATATCGAATTTATCAAAATGACGACTTAAAATCTTTCGTAAGACCATTTAAAGTACATATTAGAGATATGTATTCCGGAAAAAGTTGGCTAGGAGGATATCTCCCTATAACCCCTTACTTATGATCTACTGAGGAACAATGTTGAGAAAACCACAGTAAACGGAGTTATGGATCAACCGAGACGAATGTGTAGTCTCAAGTAGAGGTGCCGTTTTTAAATTGATTAAATCGAAGATCGATTAATCGAGGCCTTCGGTGAACCGATTCAAAAAATTCCAGAATTGATATTCGATTTTTCCTTAATTGGTGCATATTGATCAACGGTTTACCCCAGAAAATTTATACAATTTGAAAGAAATTTAAATCGGAGGCTGGTGCAAAGAAAAAAAAAGAAATGGGGCTTGATACCTTCCACCTTTCTAACTTGAGAGAGCAAAGACCAAAGAATTCAATGACCCGTCTCTCTTTCACCTCCGACTCTTGGAAATAACGCTATATAAAATTATGGCTGATACTACAACAAAAACTCCATAAATCGGAATTCGAAACTTTATGGAAATTTTCATAAAAAATGTTCACTCCTTAATTACTCTTTAGAAAAAAATTTGAGTACGTATGCAGTTTTGCAGCAAATCTTTTTTAAAAAGGGTAAATATAGAGTTAGTGAAAACAAAAAAAAAACATAAAGCGTCCGTATTGCAAAGAAATCTACATACATATATACGTAAGCTCCATTGTAGTATAATTTTTTTTTGTGGTTAATTTCGAAGTAAAACAAATTTTTTTCTGATTTGTGATAAAAAACAAAATTCCTAAAAATTTAAGCATTTCCTTAAGTAGGCGAATTTCCCCTAGGTATTAAATTACAAAAATTTTAATGGCAATGTTGGGCATTACGTTCAAAAAAATATTCATTAGTGCGATTCGTAAAACATCGCAAAGTGGCATTTTTGGTGAAATGTAAATTTTTTTCAAAACGCTACACATAAGTGAAAAAGAAACCGTACATACATTGGCATACATTTGTTTGTCATTTCGCCTCTTTTCAAATTTCAAAGTATTAACGAATTGCTACTTGATAGCTTTTGAATAAATGTGGATAATGAAACCATTATGCAAAATGTATGTGTGTTTGAAGAATTCCTATAATAGTTTGGTCAGATCGTCGTGTTTTGTTTGTTAATAAAAATTTAGTAATATACTTTATTTGACCAAATATATGAATCGATCTTGGGAGATCGATTTATTTTTTGCTGATTTTTTTCCAGCATCGATTGTTTTTATTTCGATTCGAAGCGATTCAAAAATCGATTTTTTTTTATTCGATCTGGCATCTCTAGTCTCAAGGCCTTTAAAGCCGAAGCTCAGCGACGTCATCACATGTTACTGTTCTATTGCACAAATGCTCCAACGATTCCATGTTCTATCTGCAGAAGTTATCAGGATGAAGAAGAGGAGAAGGCAATTTAATATTTCTTATGTTGACGTCTTGCCAGCCGCAAGCCAATGCTTCTGGAGCAACACCACGTCGAAGGACTCTCCTCCAGCGTTAGGAGTAGCTCGTTCGGAGCCAACTTATTATGTTGCAGGTTTATTTGAAGGATGGACCTTCAACATTAGCGCGTTGCTCGTCCCTAATCTCCCTCGCTGCTTCTGTGATCCTATCGCCATCTGTAGCTGCATCTTCCGCTATCTTTAGGTCAGTCAAGATATCAAGACCTAGATCTTTGTCAACTTCCCCTATTGCAAGCGTATTTGCGTTATCATCTTTAGGGTTACACTTTTTCAACCGCAAATGTACCCCATGACATTTTGCCATGCTCTGGGTACAGCAAGTCGTCTTACACTCCTCCGCCGGTGAAGTACCTTTCAATCTCGTGGCGGTATATTCGTGTTTTTTGCCTGCAACAAGCGCAAGGCGTCCTCCAACTTCATCATACACGGGATCCATACCTTCGCCTTCGGAATCGTGGGTATCACAGCTCTGTCAAATACCTCTAGACGCGCGTTGTCACCTTGCATTAGGAGGTTTCGAATCCCTCCCTTCATCTAAGCCCGTTAAACCAGCCTGCGCAGATAAATGAAGGCATGGGTTTGCCCGGCTCTTCATGCATCCGCCAGAGCATTAGGCTCAATACCCGCTCCACCTTTCGGTGGTCATCACTAGGATCCAGCAACGTAACAGTATGGTGTTGCCCGTCTACCTCGCTTAGTCTTACGGGCCCTGGGATCCCATCTTTACACTCGGCTTTCTCCACTTGCCCGTTACCCTTTGCCATTGCCACATTTGAAGTCGACGGCCCATCGTCGTCGCTTTTGCCTTGCTTTGCCTTACGGCCTTGTGTAGCGGTTTGTGGCTGTAAGTGAAGCTTTTCTGCCCTCTGATAGCCGGCCTCTCGTTTTCTGCTGCGCGCTGCCTTTTAAACTCACCCCGAGCGAGCTTCCCCGTTATGCTCCGTTAGTGTTCGCCCTTAAACTGCGCGCATCCTGACCTTACCGTCTTCGTGCCCACGCTAAGCACTCGCTCTCAGGGTCTGTCGGCTCAGCGACTGCTTCTGGATGCTGGATTATAACTAGTGCCGCTTTATATTGCGATATAGCCTTCCTATAATCTCAATTTAGCACATTTTTGCTCTCTTTAAAATGGGGAAATGTATCGTCCACCGCAGTACGCCTCTTACAACGGTAGGGCCACCCGAGGAGGTTGGGTATTGAGAAGGCTCCGTAAGCGACTAGGCTATTTAGGGGCCTCCAGCCCGGTCGATAATCAGCACGGAAAAGTTTGACACCTTGATCTAGCCCTGTAAAGAAATTTATCTCACAACAACGATTAAGGATCATTTCCGCATAGCAAAGCTATTAAAGAGCTTGAACTCACAGCATTGACTCCTTGTTGTAACTTGTTGACTCCTTGTCGTAACTCCAGTCGGCAACCTCGCGGAGGGTACCAATCATCGATCAATCACCGTATTCGCCTAATTTGACTCCATGCAATATTGTTCTATTTCCTACACTGTAATTTCCATTCCGTAGTCGTCGTCGATTAAAGCCATAAAAAAATGCATAGAAGAAATTTAATGTTATGTTACGTTTATCTAAGGGAGGCTTCTTCGAAGCCGGCGAAGAAAGCAGGCCAAAACTGGTAGGTTTATTTCCATTTGCTAGGTTGGTAGGTTGAATTTTGGTAGGTTCCGCGACAAAAATATTTATTTGGAAAAAGTTAATTTAAATTGAACAGGTATGTAGAGCTATGAATTTAAAAAATACGTCAGGCTTTAGTAGAGACATTCGTCTTTGTACACTATGTTTTGTACATTTCCCAATACTGCAAAGCTTTTCACTGCCATTCACCTGGGAGTGTCCAGAAGTGATTCGTGTGCTTACGGTTCAAATTGCAGCTCATTACGTCCGGATATTTACGTCCATGAAACCTCTGGCTGGCGACCGAACACTCGTTTGGGAGCGAGCTAAAGTGGGAGGGTGTAAAACCCCGCATGCGCTGGGTTTGGGTCCCGCCACGCTAAAACCCTGCCCAATGAAAAAAAAACACATGCCTCGGATGAGACCCCCTTCTTTTGATGACAATCACGGCAAACGTAGGAAGGACTATGATTTGAGCGTCTGCACCTGGAATGTCCGAACCCTTAATCGGGAAGGTGCCTCTGCCCGGCTGGTTGATGTCCTAGGTAAGATAAAGGCTGAAGTCACCGCCATCGAGGAAGGTAAGCGTGGAGCCTTGCGACGCCTACTACAGTTGTCACGTAAAGGAGCGAAAATTAGGTGCTGGATTTGTGGTGGGAGAGAGACTCCGTCACCAAGTACCGGCGTTCACTCTAGTGGACGGTTCTCTTCTATGAGCGCTTAGAGCGTACATATTAGCGCTGATCGCGACACGTATAAAAATCGTGCTTGGCGATTTCAATGCCAAGGTGGGCATCGAAGGGATCTTTGGTGCCACTGTCGGAAAATTCAGCCTCCTCATAGAAACGTCCGATAACGGGCTGAGGCTAATCGACTTCGCCGGGACCCGAGACTTGGTAGTATGTAGTACTGGGTTCTAGTATAAAAAGATCCATCAAGCTACATGGGTGTCTGCAGATCGAAAACCGGGCGACCAAATCGATTATGTTGTGATAGACGAAAGGTATGTATGCTTCCAGTGTTTTAGATGTACATACTACGTACACTCCGAGGGCCAAACATCGACTCGCACCTCTATATTGATGCAGCCAAGATACGCACCCGCCTCGGTGTAGCCTAAAATGTGCGCCCAACAATTCAAGGAAAGCTCAACGTCGAAAAGCTGCAATCAAAACAGACGGCCAATTGATTCGCCATTCAACTCTCACACCTGCTGTGAGAGAGTACT